TCTAAATCTTTTCGGAAGTAAATTCCTTGGCGTTCTGGGTCAGTGCTGCCTGATACCGTGATACCGGAGTATCATGATGGCGAAACACTTCACCCGCCGCCCTGCACTCACGGGCGCAGCACTAATGCATTAACAAATTGCAAGGAGTAAGTCTAGGCGATGCGCATAAATAGTTAAGTCGTCGAATCAAACTCGGCGTTAAGACAAGGTGCGCGCGCGCAGCAAGTCAGGAGCCAATCCTTGGCGCTACCATTCTGGCAAATCATAAATATTTCCCTGTGCATTGTAAATAACCCCTAAACGCGCAGACTACAAACTTATGCATTATTTGACTTCATTTATGCAATATTAAGCGCGGCGCGCGCAATTTGAATAGGAACTCAGCCGCACTCCGCGCCGCCTCAGCCTCTCTTCGCGCTATGCCAATCCGTTTGGTAAATAATTGAATTGTTCGAGGAGGAATGCTCTTGCAGCCTGCCGTCGCAGACGCCAATTCGCGGGCTTTACTTGCGTTCACGTTCTTCGCCGCCGCCGCCAACGATTTCAGCTACAAAGTCGACGAAAACCGATCTTAATATTAACGAGCGTTTTTAAACCGGAAAACTACACTACACTTTGGATGCTATTTGAATCAATCCGATTCTTGGAATCTTATCTTTTTTGAATTGGATATATCACATCTTTAAATAGCGCTTGATCCATCTGCAATACCAAGAAGTTAAATAAGTGAAAATAATTTGTTTTATTTTATTAACAATAATTTTCGACATCAAAATATTAGTCAGTTTTGTTTGATAATTGCCAGTGCGCAGCAGCAATGAATATATAAAAATGCATATCATATGAAAATAATCGCCTGAGCTTAAAATAAGATTTGTTGAGATTTTATGGTCATAAATGCGCGAGGTCCTTGATGCAAAGTGCAATAACCCCGCTATCAAAATAAATTCGATTCGTTTTTTGCTCATATTAATCTTGGCATTTTCGTCCGCGCACAGAGAGACGCATAAATAAATATAAATCTCAAATGTTGCATACCGAATGCACGTCATCATCACGTACAAGAAGATGCAAGCGAACGTGTTGTGATAATAGAGCGAAACTGTACAAGCTCAAAAAGAAAACAGCAATTTATTTAATTTGATGTTTTGTAACGCGCTCGCATGGTTTGTTTTGCTTTAAATGCTATTTGCGGAATAATAATATACCTACATATGTATATTAAAAGATTAAAATGTTTCTAAATACGGTGGGAGCATACGGTAGAATCACTTGTTTATATAAACCAGTCTGTTTAAGTCAGATATAGTTTTTAAATTTTCTACTACAAACTAAACCAATTTTTTTAACGTGTTGCGTACAATATATAATTTTTCACATCGACTATTATTAAATTTAAAAAATGATAACAAATTATTACGTTAATAAGATGAAAACTATTATATATTTAAAAAAAATCTGTTTCCTGTCTTCACGTGCAGTAATATTTTTTATTTTTCGAAATAATCTATCACATTTTTCTGACGCCCAATTTGGAAAAATAAATGTTCCCGCCATGCTGGCGCCCTTTTTATGCTGCAGTTGCATCTGATTGATAAAAAATATCATAAAAATTAAAACTAAAGTTAAAGCGCGAAATAGTGCTAAAACTTTATGTTCCGCAATGTTTTAAATAATTTTTAATCGCGTTTGACAACATGACAAAACGTGTGAATACGTGATTAAATTACCCGCTTCGCCGAGGCGCTTTTTGTTGTCGCCGCGATATAAAAATGATGTTTATTCTGGCGCCGCGCGGTGGAAACTAACTTTAAAAACTTTTTAAAGCGCCCGTCGCCGGTTGTCCGCACTATTCGCGCCGCGCTGCATAGTAATAATAATTATTTCGACTATATGCATGCATGTGTCGCTCAAGAGACGCAAAAAAATAAAATAATAAAACAATATAAAAAAGACCTAAGCGGAGGCATACCAAGTGGGGTGGTAATTTAATTTTGTTTGTTTCTGACTGTACACCACTACGCACACTTTGCTCCCAGCATACACCCAGTGGCAACAACTGTTATTTTTACAACCCCTATCGCACACAAAAAGAGTTGTGTGATACGCGCGAATATATTCTATAATTTTTATATTCATCGTCATCATGTGTGTGTGTGTTGGCGAGGATTGTATTTTAATTTTTCTTTTTTTGACATGCTGGGTGCCCCCGCTGCATTTGCATGCGTATGTGTTTATTATATTTGGCGCCCCCTCTTCGCCAAACGCAACCCTACACAATGGTGCGCCGTGTTCCCGCTGTGGAATATCGTCATCATCAGAGATGGGTTTTCGAATCGCAAGTCTTGAAATTTATCGTCCGCAACATTTATACATATTTTTCACTGTATGCAGAACGTACACAACTTTGTCCATAACTGTTTCACAAGTGTGGGTGCAAAGAAATGTTTTTAATTAATGAATCGTTTTTAATTAAAAAGCTTTTTACGATTTTTTTCATTCCGCGTCGACGTGTGAATATGTGTTTGTTGCGCTCTTGTTTTGGTAGTATGTAGTACCTTTGTATTATACAAATGCAAATATCAAATAATATAGATACGGACTGTGCGATGTATGGAAAATGTGTGGGGTGTGGATGTGTGTTTTTTCGGATATTTAAAATTCGCAGCTTTTTAAATTATTGTATGTTGGGCTCTGTGTGAATTCTCGTTCATTAGATATAATTGTGCGTGTTGAAAATGCTGTTAAAATGCTAATGCCCGAAAACCCAACAGGCACCCGCGTGTATTTATTTAATTGCCGACAACATATTTTTAATTAAAATGTTTAAAAAAGCAAAGGTTAATTAGCGTAAATCAACTGTATCCAAAAATCAGTAAACGTTAAAAGTTATATTCACCAATATTCACGGAAATATACCTACATTTTGTAGTTAGTAATGTAAATAATACAATCATAGTTAACATATTTTAAATTAGAATTAAGCTAGGTATAATTATATAGCCTATAATTTAATTAAAAAATCAAATTTAAATTATTCTTTACATTTTTGAATTTCTAGAAAAGCAAATCGTAAAATATGTCGTATGAAATAATCGAAGGTTTTCATACTTTTAATAAAAAGTTTAATATAACTTTAATTACCCAGACTTTGATATAAATTTATTGCGCGATTTAATAATTACATTGAATTTTCCAGGTATATTGAATCTTTATGTGCAAGTTTTTATGACGTAAAGCGTAACATTTTATAGTTTTTAATTAATATTCAGCTATGATTAAAAATCGCAGAAATAACAAAATAACTAAAAGATTGGCATTAAATTGTGGCTAATAAAGCAAATATGTAATTGCTTATGAAATAATGATTGAAGAAAAAATGTAATTTTTGCGGCGGCAAAATTCTGCGTACCTAATATGAATGCGTGAATATGAATTTGTCATCATAATACACGAAGCATTTGATATTAGGTACAATAGTACGTAGCTACTTATCAAATATCGCTCATTATTGCTCAGTCAGATGTGAAATGAAGAAATAAATCAAAACACGTTGAGCTAAATAAGCGATATTCAAAGAATAAACTGAAGCAATTTCAACTGCACACACGCATTCGGCATAAGTAAGAAAGGCATAAGTTGTTTGTTTGATTTGCGAGAAGCGTACGGCTGCGGGGCGGCCATAGGCCTCGTGGGTGGTCATTTTCTGTAATTATAATAGCAAGTATCGCACTCGCGCGCCGCGCGAACCCAACGCTAACGAGAAACACGGCGCGATTCGATTATTAAACGCGCGTTTTATAAGCTCATGCGTTTCGGACACACTGCCGCCGCGAGAAGACGAGAAAACAACGACTGGAAAATCGGCTGCCCCTTAATAGCGCGCAACACAACTCGCGTTTCTGGCGTGCACGTTTCGTAAACTTATAAAATAATTTCGCAGAACGCGTACTTGTATTGGATATAATATGAGAGCAGCGAACAAGAAGAATTAATACCTTCGCGCGTTTGTTGGCACTGCTCCAATTGCACGGAAATCCAACACAATCGCATTACTAATGCGGAAAGATTTTTTTTGGCTCTTGTTGAAATCGAATAAAATATAAACGAATAAGTCGTACATAAAATGTTTCGGAATTGGGCATAAGACTGTAAACATTACTGATTGCCAGCACCGCCAGCACCATCTAGAGGCAACTGAGATACCTAACTATAATTTTGTTAATGCATAAAAAATCATAGAAAATAAGAATAAAACTTTATAATGCGACACTGATTTGTATTATTGAACGCGTAAGTTATTGGCAAAGCATTCTTCGAAGTAAAATTAATAAATTTTAATAAAAATCAAAATTGAAGCCAACTTTAATAAAAACAGACATTTACTTCTATCTTTCCTTGCTGGCAGCTAAAAATTTAGTTTACCCATTCCCTACTGCTCGGATATTCGAGTATTTTTTTGTTTTTTAATTGAGAAATGTTCAGCAAGTTTTTAATTAAATTAAACTGGCGGGAATTATACGAACGGCAAAATCGGTTCGCAAGCAGCGCGAAGGCGAGAAGACGAAAGAAAATTAATTAAAGAAAAACTTAACGTGTTTCCGGGGCGCGTTGTAGTAATATATTATAATCGTTAATAACAAAAATGAATTTCATCGATCCGGCGGCGGTGATTTTCGGCTGGCGTACAAAAAACACCATCGAGGGTGGTGCGCGCATTCTTTATGTGCAAAGTTCGGGCGCGCAGTTTGTTTTCTGTCGACTAGCATTTAAAAAGTTTGCAAGCTTTGTTTTGAGCTTTTCGGCGGGGTGCGCGCGGTAGAAGAACGGGAGAAGTGATTTGCACTTCTTTGCTTTTTGGCGCCGCGCTAACTAGCTCTCCGCAGAAACGCGCAGGATTCGAAATCACTTTCGGAGACTAATGGACCGGATGTGAAAATGGTTGTGTGATCATCGCCAAAAAATCAACGAAATGTCTCAAATGGATAGTTATAACTTACCTTACGTTAAATTATTCATTGGCTATAAGTCACCGCATGCAGACACCCGTAGCGATACAAACGCTCAATCCTTCTCGAAATCCGGTCAGATTCCTATCGTGATTCCTGCGTATCCGTCGTTGGAATGAGTGGAGGTGGTGGGCTTGAGGTTGTCGCCGAGTCTGAAATTAAAACGCACACATTTAGAGTATGCAGCGCAATCAAATATGCGACGTTTTTGCTCGAGTGTTCTCAGAGCCGCGTCGACGTTCCCCTTTTGTGGTTCGATTTAATAAAACACGAATATACCTCTTAAAATAACCAGCAATGACATTAACTGCTCGTCGCACAGCGCGCGTATATTGGATTCGCGGATTTCTTTCCGCGGCGTATTTTATAACGTGCGCGCTCGCAAATGCATACGAAAACAATGTAATAATATTACATTTTTATTAGTTCAACCCCGGTGATACTGCGGCAAGGAAAAAGTATTCGATGTCCTGGACGGGGCATCCTGGCCGGCTCGTACGTGCGGCTACAATTGAATCGCAATAATAAATCTCGCGTATGACACCGAAGCTAGTATTTTCTTTTAATTAAAACTCGTGAATTATGCAAACAATAATTTTTCCAGCGCACACAACGTGACTGTCCCGTGTCCTCGACTTGGAAAAAATCCATAAAAAGTGAATAGCCTTAATGTAAGTGTTTGTTTTGCGTCAAAAAATGTTCGATATTGTTTGTTTGCTAAAATTTTAATTCAATACACAGAGTGTTTTTACGCGCATCCCAAACCAACTTTTATTATTAAAACTTTTTATGACGTAAAAAATTTCTTAAAAATCAAAAAGTGAATACTTAAGCATGCAATGCATGTCGGATATAAAACACCTGTGAAAATAGCTCAGGTGTGTCGCCGCGACGTCGCTTAAACACTCCGCGTTCGCGCTCCCACATTGCACATTCATAAATATGATGAATAATGTAATGTTTAAAAAGTACGGCTGTATTTCACTCGGGCACCATTATTGGTTTCGGCCGGTAATCCCACTCGTAAATTCTACAAGCCGGTTAATTTAGAAAAAACACATTCGCAACACACCACTACGAGCGACGCAAAACAAACAAAGCATTTCGACGCCTGGCGGCGGTGAGAGGCGGGAAATTTCACAAAGCGGCAGCCAATAAATTTGCTCGTTAGAATAAGACCCGCCGCCGAAATGTACACTTTTCGAGTAAAAAACAATAACAAAAATTCGCCCGCAAACCAAAGTGTTCTCAAAAGCGTTCACGCCTATAAATAATACAAAAACGGCGAAAACTTTTCGACTTTGTGACCGAATGGTAAACCACAGCGACAACCCAAAGCATAGATTTTACCGCCACCATAGCGGCGCGTGTAAGTGCAATATTTTTATTTTTGCATGTTTTAACTTAAAGTTAAAATGCGCGTCGCTCTGCTAATGGCATTGCTTTTCTTCGCTTGCATTTACCAGTCGGCGACGAAAACACGCGGTTAACTGGTTCTCTCCAGCAGGAAATAAATTCCGCTGCGCCCCCCGAATTATTGTAAAAGCGTGCCCACCGCACGCAAAAACCGTATTCGCCGGGGGTTGCTTTGAAAGACGCAGTTTGTTTCGATTTCTAGCTTGTTTTTAAGGCAATTTTAAGACCACGCGACGTGCGCGCGAATGGAATGATGTATATTTTAATTTCAAAACTAACGGCCTCTTTTTGCCGCCGTCGTGCATTGAACGCCATAAAAACGTAACACACACACTCGCCGGGAGTGAATGCAAAACGGCCGAAGCGGCGGCGTTTAGTGGTGGAAAATTAAAAATGTCATAATTTACATCCCTTTTTTGTCGCTCGCCGGTTTTTCCGCGCTGTAAAGTAAACACTTAGCCGAAAGCAGCTAAGAAGGCGAGTCAAGACTAAGGAGAGCGAGAAAGAAGATGAATTGCGTGAAGCAAAGGCGAAACGAAACAACGAACGAAAAATCCGTCCGGACGTAAATCTCCGCGCACGACTCCATTTCGCGCGGTGCGCCTCGGCGAAGAGTTTATATTAAAAAAATATACAATATTTTAATGCAATTAAAACATTCTTTTGCGCGCACGGTGCGGAGAGCGCGGAGCGCGAAGTTAATTCAGCGTTGACGACGACGTCGAGTCTACGCCCGCCTCGGCGCCTTTCTTTCGACTTTTTTCTTTTTCGCTCTGTTTTGGTGTATGCGTAATCAGCGTAAGGAACAACTTTTTTTTACCATCAGTACACCTATCACTTGTCATGATAAACTAATATTTTAGTTTCGTCATTCCATGGTTAATTCAAACTAAAACTATGTAATTTTTTTATTTTTCATAAAAAAAAATTAGTAAAGTTTTTGGATATAAGTAGCGAAAACCCAAATTTAGTCTTCTCCAGCCAACCCTGACTAGAAGAAAAGGCAAGAAAGAAAGTCGTCGACGAGCGGCACAAAAAATGCGAGTTTAAATTGCATTATATATGTATTAGAGAATAAAAACGTATATTTTAATGAAACGCCGGGATTTTCCCTTCAGGTTATATTTAAATTTCTTTTAATTTAAATCGGTAATCTCGCTGAATCTGCGTGCGAACGTGAACGACTAGCAGTCAGCGGCAGGCCAAGGAAGAAAATGAAACGAAATGAGATGCCAGCTGAACGTGGAAAAATACAAATCATTATGAAAAATAATAATAAAAGAATGTTTTAATTTATGTGGCCACGTTTTAATATCAGGCGGTTTTCTGTAAATGATTTAATTTTCAAACTTTCATTCATTTTCGTTTTGGTAAATAAACACAATATGAATAAATATGCAAATATATTACATGGACGTTTAAATATAAAAATATTGAACTTTTACTATGGCTGTACTAATCAAAAAAATATTGCATATTTGCTTTGTAAACGGCGACGGTGCCCCTGCCCGGCACCGCCACCTTTTGCCTATGACGCACAACGTGTTTTTTTTTACAAACTCACGGATACATCACAGATACGTTGTGATGTATCCACATTCCCGCAAAAATCGCGTGTATAAAATCACGTACGTGCAGAGCGCGTCGCTGCACATGCATGCGTTCTACCGTCCTAGGAAAAAATTACATTCGTAGCAAATAAATCTAAACGATTCGCGTTTGTTTTAAATTAAAAGTCCGATTTACTTTGCAAATATTAAAAACGCGGAAACGAAATAAATAACACGCGGGCACGGACTGGTAGCGAAAAACAAAACGAAAAACCCCGCGATGCACGTGCAGTGTTCAGTGCATATTTGAAAAGCTCACACTCGTCGCCACCATCACCACTACCACCACAGCGCCACCGAGGCAAACCCTACTTTACACCAACAAAACGAAAACGTACAAAAAAATCTCCTTCACTCGCAAAAAATAATCGCCTGTGAACCTACTGTTACTGCACACATAGACAGCAGCTAGTAGTAGATAGGGAGGTGGTGAGAGGAGCGAAAAAAATTATATAAATGGCATCGGGTGAATCTATGCGCGCGCCCGCATTTGGTCTGTATGTAATCGCAATTGCTAATGCGTACGAAATGCATATGATCCACAATTAAACAAGGAACTCGTTGCTTTTTGCAAAAACGGCTTTTTACGCATGCAAAGTCTCATCACTTTTGTGGAATTCATTTGAAATTGCGCATAAGCTTATTTAATTAAAAAATAACTTTTTGTGATACTGTTTACTCAGGCAAATCGTCGAGTTCGTATAAAAGATTCAATGACATGAAGAGGCAAGGATGCAAACGCAATGATGAAATAAAAGCTTTGAAAATTCAGTTACTAATTAAAATTAGCACAACAATCATAGAAAGATAAAATCCAAAAGGTCTAAGAATCAAATTATTTTTTTCATTCTTATCTAACACTACCTTTTGCCCGCGACTTCGTCAGGGTAGTATTTAATAAAAATATAATTTGTTTTTACTCTCTTGTTCTAGACATAGTTTGTGTCAATTCGATCAAGAAAGTTCGCAATTTTATTTGAAAAAAATTAATTATATAAAAGCATTGCTAATAATGCACTTCAGTGTGCCATCTCGGATTCAATTTTTATCCTATAGAAAAGTGCCGTTTTTAGGGTTTTTCCAGCAATAATTCGAATTTTTCTCGCCGTAAAATCCACCCTTGAACTTTAAAGAACATTTAAAAAAAAGAATTGGCCAAATTGGTCTAAGGGTTGTTGAGTTATGCGCTTACCAACAGATTTTGCGATTCATTTTTATATTATAGATTAACTTCAGGCTCTTCAAATAGTCCAAGAATCACATATGTGTTGACTCATATGACAGCAATAGAACAAATTAAATTGTTAATAATTCCACGAAGAATTACTAAAAACAGCACGTGCACAAAGCTGCCACAATAAATCACTAGTAAAATAATAAATAAAGCTTAAATAAGTATAAATATCTTCATGAAAGTTACAAACCAATTAACACAATTTTTAATTCCAGAACATAAATGTTTGCGCACGCTTACATTTGTGGCCACTTCACACAACGAACACAATGTTCCATACATAATTAGTTATAAACATCTGCATCTGCATGCGTGGCTAATATATTAATTTATTATAATAGCACCATTAACGGGCTCGTGAGTGGCGCATGCCGCAACTCTCCTAAAGAGAGAGAGAAGCAAAGAGAGAGCTTTCCTCCAGCATGCATTCGCGTCCGAGTTCTCGTGTTCTAACGCGCTGCACACAATCAATCTCTGCTTCTGATTGTGCTCGTGGCGGTTGTGTACCACACAACGAAATCGAGTTTGAATAGCCATGCGGCGGCGCTACTGCAATGCGCGTGCATCTCATCTCGCAGCGGCAAGTCAAGTGCCGAGTGCTTCGGTAGCTTCGGGCGGAGAAGAGCGGCATGTGTGGACGCTTAATCATTGACAATTAACAAAACACAGCTACCAGATGACGCGGTCGCGACGCTTCTAACGTAAATATAACTGGCCCCGCAACCGAGCCGTCCGAGAGAGGAGTAATGCGCATGCAAACAACACGTGTTTGTTCAGTCGAATATGTTTTGCATTCGATCATTAATCCCTGCGTGTTAGCGTCGATATTTGAAAAGATTTCTGCCCGCCCCGAAGCGCCCTCAAGGGAGTAGCAATTGAAATTATATTAGGT